GACCATGTTAGAAAACATGTTAGAAAACATGTTAGATCTAACATTCTAACATAAACATTATTTTTACTGAATTCCGTATGAAATTTCATGAGTTTTGTGTGTTTTAGACCATGTTAGAAAAGAGGTTAGAAAAGAGGTTAGATCTAACATTCTACCCTAAAATATATTTTTGCTGAATTCCGTATGAAATTTCATGAGTTTTGTGTGTTTTAGACCATGTTAGAAAAGAGGTTAGAAAACATGTTAGATCTAACATTCTAACATAAACATTATTTTTGCTGAAAAATGACCAAATTTCATGAATTTCCTTAAGATAGAAAATAAAAGCTAGTTTTTTTAAAATATTTTTTTTTATTTTGTATGTAAGAACAGGAAATGTCAAACACTGAGTTTGAAACAGTTAGAAAGATAGACAATGACACCAAAATGGTTAGAATTGGTGATTTAAACGTAAGATACTCAAAGAAATACAACAAATATTCTTTGTCAGACATTATATCTCCATCTGGAAAGAAAACAAACGACTGGGTTAAAAATGCTTCATCTCAGAAAATTTTGACAAGAAATCCTGAGCTTATGATATCGGTAAGATTTCATGGAACTACAGCATATCTTATAGACAAAAGTCTTATACCAGTAGTTTTGTTCTGGTTAGACCCAGTTGTTGGATATAATTTCATAACATATGGTTCATTCGATACGGAACGTTGCAGTGAAGGCTTACTTTACATCGTTCAGAAACCGAAAGACTTCAATACAAAGAGATATAAGATAGGAAGAACATTTAATATAACTAAAAGATATGACTCTACAGTCAATAGAGTTAAGGTTGTGTTTGTTAACGATATGAGAGCTGCAGAAACAGAACTGCTTGAAAAGTTTGAGAAAATGTATGGTGCTCCCACGAAAGGTAAAGAAACGTTTGAAATAGATGAGATAGATAAAGCTATAAAATTATTTGACGAAGTTGCTGAAAAATACATGTAAAGCGTTTATTTTTGGTCTTTTATACAAGATAGAAAATAACGCTAATTTTATTTTTTTTTATTTTTTTATCCGGAATATAAAGACAGATATGTCAACAACAGAGAACACAACAACTGCTATCGTTCATGAAGCTATAAATGAAGAATATGAGTGGGTTCAGTTTAACAAACAACTCCGTCTCATTCGTTCGGTCAAAGACGATATGTACCAAATGCAAAGTATTTTGAATACTCTTCGTTCTACAAAGCAAGCATACCATTGGTTTGAAAACCAACAGACAAAAGAACTTTTAGAAGAATTTCCTCATATGTTTGCTACCCTCGGAAAACCGAGGGTAGAGATTCCGTACGAAAATCGCAAGAATTTGGCTCCTGGTTTGAGAGGTTGGTATGTACATAGACTTCTTGTAAATGCTGTTGCAATGTGGGCGTCACCTCGCTATGCTTGTTATATTTTCATGATGTTAGATGAAATTCATAGACAAGAACGTGAAGAGATGGAAAAGAAACTTCAAGCAAAAGATGAAGTCATTGAAGCAAAAGACAAAAGCCTTCAGAAAAGAATACCACGTTCGGTACCAAAAGGAAAGGAAAAGAACTATAAGTATATGATTTATACTGAAGAGATGGAAAATGAAGAAGATAAAGATATGGTTATGTTGCATTTAGTCAGAAGAAACAACAAAAGCTTTTACGACCTTGCTAAGATTTACAAATCTGACAGAAATTGGTTCTATCGCGAAAACTTACCGATTTCAATGACCCCAAATGAAGATGTGAAACAAATAGTTCAAGATACGTTACCTCAAACACACTATGATATGAAAGGTTGTACAATACTTACCTTCAAAGAAGATTTGCCATTGTTAAAGGAAAAAATAACAGAGTATTTTGACAACTTCAAACAAGTAGGGTAGATGAACCATTTATTTTTCAAGCTTGACTTCAGATGGCTCAGGTAGCTCTATAAGGTAAATTGTCTTGTCAAATCCTTCCGACATTCCAAGTTCTTCCTTCCGACATTCCAAGTTCTTCCTTCCGACATTCCGAGTCCTTCCTTCCGACATTCCAAGTTCTTCCTTCCGACATTCCAAGTCCTTCCTTCCAACTGGAAAAAAATTTCCCGACAACTGGAAAAAATTTTCCTTCAGACAGGAAAAAAATTTCCTGTTGTCCGTCCGTAAACCATTCAAATTTTCGAAAATTGAGAACTTTTTGGTCGAACGACAGAAAAAGTTTTTCCTTCCAACTGGAAAAAATTTTCCTTCCAACTGGAAAAAATTTTCCCGACAACTGGAAAAGTTTTTCCTTCCAACAGGAAAAGTTCTTCCTTCCGACATTCCGAGTCCTTCCTTCCAACTGGAAAAGTTCTTCCATCCGACAGGACACAAACGAATGTCCGACGTACCACCAACCGAGTCCATTCCAAAGCCAGAAGAACCGACAGCCCCAGCACCACAAGCAGACTAAGACTAAACATTTATTTTTCAAGCTTGACTTTTTACAATTTGAACTTTGTTCGCGTAGATGTGAATTCTGAAAGAAGTATGAGGGTCTTGTATGACTTTGTACTTCTCCCATAGTTCATGTCTGTCAAACTTACCTGCCATGGACTCTTTCATAAGTTCCATGAAATCGTCTTCGGACAATCCAGGGAAAAGTATGATATCAGTAAGTATTCTTTTAACATCCTTACTTAAACTCTTTGCTGTCTGTACACAAATGACAACTGAGATGTTAAAGTGTCTGAGCTTCTTAAGAATTCGACACATATCTTGTTCTCTGTTCTTTAACAAAGGATGAGAAGCAAAGTCATCTAAAATAAGAAGACATCTGTGAGGGTAAGTCTTCCAATCGTAAGATTGCAATTTCTTCGAAATGTATTCTATCTCTTTCTGTTTGTTTCGGAAGTGTTTCTTCTCTAATATTCTCTGCATTTCCTCATTTGGGTCTTTAAACTTCGAGTTTATATACTCATTTATAGCATTGTACTTCAAAACTCTTCTTTGGTACTTCTTTATCCAATCTAACAACTCAGAGTCTTTTATACATACTAACTTAGACTTTTTATAATATCTTTGAACGAATTGACGGTTTGGTCAAATTGACCAGAAGTACTACAAATGACTACTAACTCATAGAATGGGTTCTTCTCATCTAGTTCTTGTTGTTGTGCAGCCATTTTAAGATAAGTGAAAGTCTTACCCGACCCAGGCGGTGCAATTAGACCTGTTATACCATTCTGAGCAAATAGGAACTTGTCATGTATGGGTTTTATCTGAGCATTTTCCAACTTCCTCTTGTTCTTATTTAAAACATTCTCAAATTTCTTGTCAATGTCAGCAAACTTTTTTTCTAACATATTTTTAGAAAAATTAAAATTTTTATCTTTTTGAAAATGTCTAGTGATTTCGCTATCTATATTCGAGACAAACTTTTCGACTCTAAAACATCTGTCGACCATAAAATCTTACATAGTGTAAACAAGAAAGGTGAATTTGTTCTAAAGTTCTGTTTCTGGGAATATGACAAGAACCATAAAACATTAGGCAGAGAAGTCTTTAAGTTTGTCAATGACAGACTTGTTGACAGAGATGACGCCGATTGGAAAGATGAAGTCCAACAAAAGTTCTTAGAATGCAAAGAAGACACATGCGCTGTTCTTGAAGATGAAATAGAAAACAGAATAGAAGAGCTATTAAAGGACAAAGAACTTTTACATAAATATGGTTGCGCCAAATTTGACATAACTCCACCAGAGAAGAAGAAGAAGAGAGAAAAGAAAGAAAAGAAAGTAGAAGAAGAGAAGAAAGAACCTGAACCAGTTCCAGAGAAAAAGAAATTTGACATGTAAAAATAAACTTTTATTTTTAGAACATTTCTGGGTCAATGTCAATGTTCTCTTCCTCTTTAGGGGCAAACACTGGCTTAGACTCTAAAATCTTTTTACCCAATTTACCTTGAACTTCAACTATCTTAGACTCATAATATTCATAGTCGTCTGTCTTCTTTGGTTCATAAGGTATAACAAGTTTGTATGCTTTACCTTCTTCGAGTTTTGAGAACTTTCTGTCAAAATTTTCTTTGACTGTCAACATACCGTCAATGTATAAGTCTTCAAAAGTTGCACCACTTTTTCTAACAACAGCAAACTTAACTGGTGCAATGTTCCAAATTTTGTCAAATGTAGACTTTTCAAAATTGTAGAAGTAAACATTCAAATATGCGAATGGAGCTAACTTATCTTTGACTTCTGTCATGTACTTATTTACTGAGATGAATTTCGTCATCTTTTCTATCGGATAAAAAAATATTTTTTTAAAATTTACTCAGAAAAATTTTTCTTTGTATATACGCCGTTCTGAACATCTAAAAGATTTTTGACATTTGCCAAGAATGTTCGTTTAGACGCTGTCATATAACCATATTCTTGACAATATTGTTTATATTCATCGTACAATGACCTTTCATCTAAACACTCAAAGTTAGTCTCATCTATAAACAGTTCATATACACTCTTGTTTGCTTCTAACAATGTTTGTCTCTCTTCGGTATGTGGAATTTGTCTTGGATTGAACTTTGAAATATCTAATGTCATGAAATATGAGAACAAGTGGTTGTAAAAGTTAGGTGTCAAAGTTTCTGCTAAGTCGTCAAAATATTCTGTATCTTGCATATGAGAATCTGACGTTCTGACAACTACATATCTTCTGTCAGAACTTTCTAACTTCATCGGAACAGCATTGTTTGAAACCATAATGAAGTTTGCAACATTTTCACAAACTCTTTGGTCTTTATATTTTCTTTCAACAACTCCAACTTTGTCTGTTATAAGACTCTTCAAAGCATCTGAGTTCAAAACTTTTGTTGTATCTATACTTTGAAGTTCGTTACATACTATAAGTTTCATATTCTCTATTGAAGAGTTAAATTTACCGCAGATGTTTTCTATGTTTGTCATATTCGGGTTCGAATAGCCCTCTAACAGTTTGCATAAGATATCTGTAAAGAATGTGTTCTTACCAGTTCCTTGTTTTCCAATTATAATGAGAGCAGTTTCATTTTTAGCACTTGGATGTTGTAAGATGTTTGCAAACCAACATAAGATATACTCATAGACTCTTTCGTTTCCATTGCATATAATTTCTTTGACATGGTCTAACCAAGCTTCTATAACATTTTCTTTCCATTCTACTTGTTCGTATTTATATCCAGTGAAGATAGAATAGAAGTTTGGAGATGGTGTATAGAACTTTATACCACGAACTGAAAAATCTTCTAACTTTGACAATAAGATATCCCAAGCATCTAACATCTTCATACCAACTTGTACGACTTTTATTTTCTTAAGTTTCTGTCTACATTCTTGTTCTGAAACTATTGTCGCTCTTGGTTTGTTAAAGACAACATCCCATTCTTTCATAACATAACATTCTGGGGCAGAGTCGACATAAATGACTAAACGTTTCAAATTCTCGACTGCTTTGTTATAGTCTCTAAATGGACACATATTTCTGAAGGCTTGGAAGTCATAAAAATCTGAAACATCTATTCTGTACATTTTTATAAGAATAAAAAAAATATTTTTTTTATTCTTGAGCTATTTGTTGCATTTGTTGTTCTTGAGCTATTTGTTGTTGAAGTTGTTCTTGTAGTACAATACTTTCACCAGTTGCATCTTCCAATTCGAAACTTTCTGCCGTCATTGACAAATACATAGGACATAAAAGTTTTACAGGAACAAAGTTTGCGTCAACTAAGGTTAAGTTTATGTTTGCTAAAGTGTTTGAGTTTACTAAAGCTGAAAACTCTGCATTCGAATGAACAATAGGCAAACCAGCAGAGAAAGTGTTGTTTATACGCATGAGTATCTTTTGGTCATAATAGTTTCTGTCGACATTCGAATAACACTTTGAACCTAAGTTTGAAACAATATATAAAATAGGTGTACTTAAAGTCAATGGAACAGACATTCCTTGTATGACACCTTTTCCTGTTATAGGAAACTGTTGGTAGTAAAAACCAGATATAAGTTTTGTATTATAGCTCATATCGTTTATACTAAACTCAGTCGGACATCCAAACATAATGAAACCTGCTCTAGTTGCAGCACATGTTACATCCGTCCTTAAAGTATTAAATAAGTCAACAAAACCTGTTGGTGGTATATCTGAGTAAGTATCTTCAAAGGAGTATTTTTTACCATTCACAACAATAAAATCTTCTGGTGTCAAAAGAGCAAAACAGGCTTTAGTCGTCATTGTGTTTAAGGTTAGTTTACAATATCGTCCTTGAGGACTTTGTAAGTTTGTTGTTATAGAATTATATGACTCAGGGTTTTTAGTCGTAATAGTATAAACCATTATGTCTTCTGCCATTTACTTAGCAACTAAATTTTAATGAAATGTTGTGGTCGTCAAATATTTTTATAACGTCTGGGAAACTATACTTTAAGTTCAACGTTTCACCTCCTTTCATAACGTATATCTTGTCAATGATTATATGAAACACCACAGCAACTAATGTCGGGTTCTATTTCTTTGATGTTTATATCGTCTGCCTCTGTCAAAAGTTTCAATAGTTCTTTCAAGACTTCATGAGGTGCAATGACATATGAGTTCACTTTTACAGGGTTGTGTTCGACCAAGTTTAACATTATACCTAAAGCTTGACAAATCTTCTCCTGAGTTTGAAGTTTGTTTTTCAGTTGTTGGTAGTCGTTTCGAATATCTGCAACAGAACTTAAGTCTCTGCTAACTTCAGGGTATGTTGGTTGTTCTTTTACAGGAACAATTGTTATACCATCTTCGTCTTCGTATGGTTTCCCCACTTCAACATCTCTTTCTTTGACATTGACAACAACACTTTGACTGTTTGTTTGAGTTGGTGAATTTAACTTCACATCTGCCACCGCCATTAAACCTTTTGAAACACTTACGCTTCTATTTTTCGGAAATGACATTTTACTTAGAATAAAAAGATGGACGTATTTGAGTATCTCTTCGAATTGAAGCAAAACAAAGTTTACACACACAAACAATACAAGTTCATTGATAGAATAGTTCTTTACACAAACAATGGAAAATGTTATAGAATAGCAGTCTTTGCTGAACCAAAATATTTTCATAAAGCAAAGAAAGTTGGTATAACCGAGATGGTGAAAGTTCTTGAAGCAGACAAAAATATAACAACAAAACTGACGATATTTCTAAAGGTAAGTTTATAATACAATTTTATGTCAAAACTGGCGTACTGTCAATATTTGACGGAGAGAAGTCAGTTCAAGAACAACTTACTGACCTGCTGCCAAAATCTGCTCGATGGAAGCTGTCGTTATGCCAATCTGAGGAGCCCCAGCAGGTTTCATCGAACGAATTTTCAAAAGAGCATCTTCCGTGAAAAGTGCTATTGGTTTTGTAAACTTCTTTGCTTTCAGTTCATCTGGACCGTCTCTGTCACCAGTATATTGTATTTGAACTGTACCAACAGTTGAAATACCACCCATAAAGTCTTCTGAGTCAGCAAATGGAATGCCAAGCCAAAAGTTTGAACGGTCTCCATTTGTATATTGAGTTTTTTGAGCTCCTGTATGGGTCCATACTTTCACATATGGCATAATAGAACTTTGCATTTCAGGGTTAATGGTTGTTGTGAAGTTGTTGTTAAAGTTCATAGCATCTAATGTCAAGTTGTATGACCTCATATCCTCAACTGTAGAATATTCTTCTCTTGGATAGTATTTGCCATCTATGTTTATATGGTATTTAATACCGGGGTTGTAGAAACAAGAATAGTCATTTATAGTTCGTCTGAACAGTACAAACAGAGTATCTGCATGTTTCATTGCAGTTGTTAAGGCAATATCTGTTCTTGCACCTGGGTCAGCACTTTGGTTTCCAACTTCACCTGCAAAGTCTTTGACAGATATTTGGTGTATAGGGAACATAAGTGGAACTGCAATATATTTGGCAGCTAAAGCATTTGAAATATCTGGGTCCAACATATAGACTGCAAGTCTGCTTTCTATTCTCTTGCATTCAAATTTTTCGCATGTGAACTTAACTGGGTCCCAAGCATCTCCAGCAGCATTGAAATAATAGTTTACTTCAGTGTTGAGGTTTGAGAAACCAAAGTCTAAGTCAACTTTGTTTTTGCAAAAGTCGGCGAATGACATTTTATTTGTTCCCACTACTTCTGTAAGAGTGAATGGGTCTTGTGTTGGTGCAATGACTAAGTTATTTTTGCTTGGAGTAAGTTCGATAGAAATTTTTCCTGCCCAGTTTGGCAAGTATCTTAAAAACCTGAAGATGAGGAAAGATGACAAAGGAACTCTAAGTTTCAATTTTACTTTGGTTACTGCTGCTGCAGTTTGTCCAGAAAGGTTAACATAAACTCCTGGAACGTTAGGGTCAAGTCTTCTTATTTTCTCAATAGTTGCATACTGGTCTGTTTGTTCTCTAGCTTGTGGTTGTACTGAGTTTCTCAAAGCGAACCATTCATAGTTTGCCCATGTTACTGTTTGAACTAAGTCAGAGTTAGAATATATCTTATATCCCATGAAAACTTCTGGAGCATATTGGTATCCGACATAGAAAATTCCATTGCAACCTTTCTTGTCAGACAACTTGGCAGAAGGTTTTATTTCAATGTCTTGTTCCACGTATAAGAAAGAGTTGTCAATAGAAATTATATGAAACCTGTCGCAAGCAATATCTACTGTTGTTGAAGAACCTTCTCCAAACTCACCTACGTTTCCATAAGAAACAGCAGTTGTATATTCGTAAGTTCCAGGAACTATTTCTGACCTTCTAATGGGCATTGTCGCATTCGTTATACCATTCGGAAACATTTCCATTCATAGCATCCAAAACTGTTGGCGTTATATTCTGAGCGGCGTACATTTCATATGGTAAAAATATAGAATAGTTGGTTTATATGTCATAATAGAACCCACGTGGACCAAGCTTTACTTTCTTCCTGACTGAGTTTTTAACTCTTCTTTTTCCTTCATTGCCCTCTGCTTGAAGTTGTTGCATCTTTGCATTATGTTCATCTAGTATGTTGCAAATTTCCCATGTCCTTTTTGCCTTTTGGCTCTGGTCGCCCATCTCAGGTAACCTATATCCTAGAAAGAGTTTGTCATAGTCTGTATTTGAGTCTTCGCGTATTGTTTGCATGACTCTTTCCTGAGTTTCCGGTTCAAGCTCTTCAAACAGTGCCTGTCCATATGGAATAAGCTCGTTTCCAAATATATGTTTTTGTAGCCATTCTGGTTTTCTTTCCATGTTACCAACTATATCTTTTGTGAATGGGAAAGCTTTTACCCAATCTTTCAGTCTTGCGTCATTTATTTCTGTAGTTGGTTTTATTTTGTCAAGGAACATGTTTTTCAATACTAACATTTCATTTGGTACTGTCCATTTGAGTTTTCTTAAATATTCATCCCTTCTCGATTCATCGCTGCAAAGTAAGTTTTTATGACATTTTGTAAACTTTCGTTTGCAAGGTCATGTACAATAGGTTCTCTTCCTTCTCCTCCCTAACTTTCTTTCTAAACTCTTCACCAAATATACCATCTCTATGGTTCTGTGTAGTTCTTTGAGATAAATGTTCTAGAACGTCAGGTGTTATATTTCCATCAGCCATGTTCATTTCATACTGGTCCAAAATATCTGCATCTTTCATATCTTTCAATGGCATTAAAGCCGCGCTTAAAATACCAGCTATATCTCGTTCACCATTGACTTCCATTGCGTCTACAACTTCTTGGAATTGTGGTTGTAAGTTTATGAACCACCTATCTGGATTAGCTTTATGACCCATCTCATTGTAGTTCCATCGTCTGCAGAAACAAAAGTAGGTTTGTTTCCATCTTGGTTAGGTTCTGAATGAACTTTAAACAATGTTTCATTTCTATATGTTTTCTTGAAATTTAACCTTTTATTTTCACCGAGTTCATCCGAAGATTGAACGTTAAATGCTCGTAAGTAAAAAGGGTTGTTGTATTTGTGTACATTTTTTTTCAGTTCTTCCATTCTATGCTGGATATTTTCATCTGATGTTGGAGTCTTTTGTATGTCGGCGAACATTTTTCGATATTCTTCTACTATGTCAGCCGAATTTTTCTTAGACTCTTGGAAAGATTCCATATTCCCCGCATACACTTGTTGAGGGTCAAGATTTTTCGGCTGTTCCAAATCTTCATCTAGTTCTGTGAAGTTAGTTTCCAAAGGAGGGACTTGTTCGTTTTCCTTCAGGCTTCTTCTAGCTGTTGTTGCTGAACTATTTCTTCCATGTCTGGTTGTATCTGAACTTCTTCCTGTGGAGTTTCTTGTACCTCATCTGCTGGCATTTCATATATTCCGAGACCGTTTTCAACAATTTCCCTATCTACGTCATCCGCATTCATAAGCTTTTGTTCTTTCGTTCCGTCTCTATTTTTTACGCGTTTCATGACGAAAGTTGAATTGTCATTTAGCTCTGACATCAAATATCTCGGAGTAAATTCATCCATGTCATTTGGATGATATGCTATTAAATCATATCCCTTAGCGAGCTTGTATTTTCCAGGTTTGAGGATTATATCCGTTTTGGTGCTGAGCCATAAAGCTAAATAGGTTCGGGTCAGTATTTCCATCCTTGAACTTTCTAATAGCTTCTTTATATCTGTCACTAAAGTCAATACTATCTGGGAAACCCACACTCTTCTTTAAGCATTTTTAAGAATTCTTGGTTTTCCTTGTTCTCTACTTCTTTTATGTCCTTGCTCTGTTTGTGGTTTGTTGTTTGTGCTGGATTTTGAACTGTTGGTTGCTGTGCTGGTTTTTGAACTGTTGGTTTTTTGGTTGTGTTGTTGTGCTGGATTTTTGAACTGTTGGTTGTTGTGTTGGTTTTGGTGCATGCCTGTGTCTGTGTCCATGTGACGATGTAAATGTTCTAGGTAGTCCTGGCGCAGGTGCTTCTCTTGGAGGGTTTGGTGGTATATAAATTCCACCAGCTGGCACATATGTTCCATCTGCAGCGTAATGTCCTACCTGACTTTTCGTCTTAAGAAAGCATTTACTAGGTCTGTTTTGGTCTGTTGTAACTCTTTTTCTTGACTTTTCACAACAGTTGCTCTAACGGCGTCATAGGCACTTTGAACTGCCTGTCTCGTTGCTGCATCTGTTATTTTCGTCATATTTTGTGCTACTTCTTTTAACTCGTTGTCGAAACCTTCAGACTTCAGTTTCTTTCCAGATGAGAAGTCGTTCACTTGTTTCACCTTACTATGAAGAGCTTCGAAGGCGTTCTTAAAGTCAGCATTTGTTAAAGCTTCATTTGAACTGTCTTCATCCGCTTGTATTTTTGTCCTTATTGACCCTATGAGTTGGGCTGCTCTTTAGCGTTGGCTTGGGCATCTAACCAGTCATTGTTAGCTTTTATATATTCTGCGCTTTTCATTGCCTTTTGCATGGCTGCGTCGTTATTTTTACTTCTTGTGCTAAGTTTTCATACTGTACGGTTTGGTTTTGCAACTGTAAAAGTTTTTCTGCCTTTACATTTGCTTCAACTTCTTTTTTATACTCATCGCTATCCATATATGTCTTCAGGGCTTTTTGTTTTATCTCTTCATCTTTCAGTACTTTATATCGAGTAGTATGGTTTTTTCAAATTTACAAACATCTTGTTCCATTTTTGCTAACTTCTGCTGCTTTTTCTGACACTTTTTTCGCATATTCCTTGTTACTTAGTTCTTTCAGTTGTTCTTCTTTCTTCTTTTTCTCTACGTTTAACTCATTGAGTTTCTTTGTGTGTCTGTCATATTCTAGTTTCTTTTCGTTTTCACTTATTTGTTTTCTGTATGTCTATGTTTGACTTTTTGACATCTGTTATTTTGATTTTTGAGTGAACTCAAATTCATTTGACTTTGAGGGTTATAGGCTGTTCCGTCTGCAGCTCCACCATAGCCTGCCATTTTCGCTAAAAGTGCCGCTCTTAAACCTCCACTCTGTGCACCAACAACTCGGTTTAAAAGCATAGGATTGCTTGACATTTGTTGCAACATAGTGGGGTCATTCAGCATTTGTTGTTGCAACTGTTTGTTGTGGTGTCAGTTTTACTATTGGATGTTTCAATGCTCTCTTCCTCTTACGTATATTCTTACGTAGCTTACGTGGCATTTTAAGTGAAGTTAAAAAGCGGTTTTTGACAGATGTTTTGTTGTGACTTCTTCGTAAAGACTTTGTTGAGATTTCTTCATAAATGTTTTGTCAAGACTTCTTCATAAAGACTTTGTTGAGATTTCTTCATAAAGACTTTGTCAAGACTTCTTCATAAAGACTTTGTTGAGATTTCTTCATCGTAATGAGTGTAAATGACCCAAAAATAATGTTTATGTTAGAATGTTAGATCTAACATGTTTTCTAACATGTTTTCTAACATGGTCTAAAACATACAAAACTCATGAAATTTCATACGGAATTCAATAAAAATAATGTTTATGTTAGAATGTTAGATCTAACATGTTTTCTAACATGTTTTTTCTAACATGGTCTAAAACATACAAAACTCATGAAATTTCATACGGAATTCAATAAAAATAATGTTTATGTTAGAATGTTAGATCTAACACTCTTTTCTAACATGTTTTCTAACATGGTCTAAAACATACAAAACTCATGAAATTTCATACGGAATTCAGCAAAATATATTTATGTTAGAATGTTAGATCTAACCTCTTTTTCTAACATGTTTTCTACCCTCTTGAATTTTCATGATTTCATCGTAAATGTTTTTGTCAAGACTTCTTCGTAAAGACTTTGTTGAGATTTCTTCGTAAAGTTCTTCATCGTAAAGACTTTGTAAAGAAAGTTCATGAAAATTCATGAGGTTAGAAAAAGAGGTTAGAAAAGAGGTTAGATCTAACATTCTAACATAAACATTATTTTTGTCTGATTTTACGAAGAAGTCTTGACAAAACATTTACGATGAAGAAGTCTTGACAAAACATTTACGAAGAAGTCTTGACAAAACATTTACGATGAAGAAGTCTTGACAAAACATTTACGATGAAATCATGAGTTTTCTACGATGTTAGAAAACATGTTAGAAAACGTGTTAGATCTAACACTCTAACATAAACATTATTTTTGGGTCATTTACGCTCATTACGAAGAAGTCTTGACAAAACAT